GAGGAAAAGCAGGTGAAGGATGTCATGGTAGCCAAACTGGACACACATTTAAAAAGTAGGCAGTAGCTAGCAAATTCAGGCAACAGCAAGCTAGTTCTTCACAGATCAACACTCTTGCCAAGAATAAAACACAATCAGAATAAATTTTTCCAAAAAAAAAAAAAACTCTATTTAAAATATTGGAAAACTACTCGGTCCTTGAGAGCATCAGGGCCAAAGAAAAGGAAAGCACAGGAATGTAAGCTAAAAACTATTACATGCCACTTTTTTTCCCCTCTGCTTTGAACCTAGAGCCTCCAAGAGGCTTGTGAGGCTGGAGGAACAAAACCTGGAGATCAGGATTGATGAGAGACATTTCCTTGGTTAAACAGCATGGGTTTTCAGTGGGAATTCCTAAAGGATGAATCCATGAGAGCTGGCGAACACATGAAACAGATCACTTCTCACAAATACTCAAGTCTTCTTTTTTTTTAATTTACTTTTTCTCTTGGGCTGTGCTGGGTCTCTTGGCTGCATGGGCTTTTCCTAGTTGTGGTGAGCCGAGGCTACTCCCTGGTTGCCATGCTTCTCGTCTCCGCAGCTTCTCTAGATGCAGAGGACGGGCTCTTTGGCGTGTAAACTTCAGTGGTTGAGGCTCCCAGGCTCCAGATCACAGGCTCAATCGTTGTGGTACACGGACTTGGTCGCTCCACGGCATGTGGGATCTTCCAAATGTAGGACTCAAACCTGTGTATCCTGCCTTGGGAAATGGATTCTTTACCCCTGAGCCACCAGTGAAGGCCCCTCAAACCCATTTTTGACAAACCAGGCTTGTCCAACAGAACTGTCTGTAAATGTCCTCTCTCTGGGGTTCAATATGATAACCACAAGCTACATCTGACTGTTGAGCACTTGAAATGTGGCAAGTGCAACTGAGGAATGGAATTTCTAATTTAATTTTAATTATTTTAAATATAACTTCAAATACCCACATCGAGATTGTTTTAGCTAAAGAAGAGTGACCTCACTCAACATCTGGCCTGATTTTCCCAGGGTGACCAACATCACTGAATAGTCCACACACAGGATACAAAGGCCAAGGCACTTGCCTTGATTCAGGACAATTTGGAAAAGCCATTTAGGCCTCTGAGCTCTCCATGGGGCTGGCCAAGCTCCACAGGGACCAATTCACACCTCAAATTCTCCCACTGACCATTCCTTTCGTACCTTTCCCTTCCATAGCTGTTGGTCCCAAGAGTATTCCCCAGTAAAACTCCTGCATGCTAACCTCCAACTCAGTGTCTAAGTCCCAGGAAACCCAACTTGTAATATTTGGTGCTTGCAGTAGTCTAAGAAAGCAGATATTAATATGGGAATTTGGAGCTAGACACCCTCCGCCCAGTTGGCAATGAGGCTCCATCACTGGTGGGAGGCGACACATAGCCTCTGGCACGACAGCAACACAATTATACAAGTTTCACTAATTGTGAACTGGGACGGGATTCTGAAGGAAGAATTTACATAAATTAGTGTGATGTATCAGACATCTGAGAAATATGAGGGGAGCAGTGACTGTAAGGACAGCAGAATTGAGTGCTGTTACTACGTTTTGATGGATGAGCCGGGGAAAAAAAATAATGAACAGCTGAGAGTAATTAAACACCAATTAAAAGATAACATGAAAGCCAGAGGGCTTCCTCAGTAGCATATAAACAGGCGCTGCCCCCCTCCACCCCCGCCACCCGGAGCACAGAAAGAGCTGAGCGCCTCACCCCAGGGGCAAGTACAAAGAATGGTCCAGTTCTAAACATGGTTGTGCTTGCAACGGAGTCAGGCCTGCCCTGACAGGGACCGAGCTTGGCTGCAAAGCAGTGCACCTCCGATGCACCCAGGACATCTGGGCGCATGCACGTGTGCCCCATCGCTCAGCCGTGTCCGACTCCGGGACCCCATGGAGCCCACCAGGCTCCTCTGTCCATGGGACTCTCCAGGCAAGAATACTGGAGTGCATTGCCATGCCCTCCTCCAGGGGATCTTCCCAACCCAGGGATCGAACCTGGGGTTTCTTATGTCTCCTGCATTGGCAGGCAGTTTCTTTACCACTAGCACCACCCGAGAAGCCCCAATTTCCCCTCACTCCCTGTTTAGAGCTAGGGCAATGCAAGGTCCTCCTGCCTCAAGGAAACAGGCACCCCCTTCAGGATCTTGCCCCATCTCCCTCCAGGCCAATAGGTCTATATATTTAAGTTGAGGCAAAATCACAACAAAACTCATGCAATAAGGGACCAAAAAGAACTAGACTCCAAGAGCAGCTTAACCTTGTCAGTATGCTCCATTTTCCATCGAGAGCCAGGGGAGTCTATGTGGGCCTGCATTCTGAGGGTGCTGGATATGACTCATCGTTCAGTCACTAAGTCGTGTCCCAAACTCTTTGACACCTGTGGACTGCAGCACGCCAGGCTCCTCTGTCCTCTATCTCCTGGAGCTTGCTCAAATTCTTGTCCATTGAGTCAGTGATGCCACTTAACCATCCCATCCTCTGCTGCCCCCTTCTCCTCCTGCCTTCAATCTTTCCCAGCATCAGGGTCTTTTCCAACGAGTCAACTCTTCACATCAGATGGCCAAAGTACTGGAGCTTCAGCATCAGTCCTTCCAATGAATATTCAGGGTTGATTTCCTTTAGGATGGACTGGTTGGATCTCCTTGCAGTCCAAGGGACTCTCAAGAGTCTTCTCCAACACCACACCTGTCTCCATTTCTCAACTCTGTTTCCTCCATGTTGACTTTACTCCTAGGCAAAATTTTCCTTCAGAGTCGCCTATGGTAGCTTCAGTCCTGTATCTTCACAATTAAGTTAGCACTAGGGAAAGAAATAGCTTCTCAGTCCCAGTGGGTTTAGAAACAAGGTAGACTTTCCCTGGAATGCCCCATCATATCATGAGCCACCTCGAACAAGGTGGATTTCCCAGGAGGTTATAAGGAACTGACTGACTGTTTTGGGGTCACGTGCCAAATTTGGGGGCTTCCCTGGTGGCTCAGATGGTAAAGAATCCACCTGCAATGCGGGAGACCTGAGTTCAATCCCTGAGTTGGGAAGATCCCCTGGTGGAGGGCATGGCAACCCACTCCAATATTCTTGCCTAGAGAACCCCCATGGGCAGGGGAGCCTGGTGGGCTACAGTCCACGGGGTCTCGAAGAGTCAGATACAACTGAGTGACTAAGTACAGCACAGCCAAATTTTTAGAATTGGAGGCTGTGGCCCCTAGTAGCATTGCTCCTGGACCAATGCAAAAGGGGTCTCAGTCCTTGATCCCATTCTGTGAGGAAACCACAAACACACATCACAAATAGAAATAGGTTTATTTAAAAAAAAAAAAAAACAAGGGTGTGTCCGTCACCCAGGATCCAGCAGTCCCTCTTGAACTTCACTGCTCAGGCTCCAGGAAAAGACTTGTTCATGCCTCCCACAGATGCCCTTGAAGGGGACTCAGACATTTCTTAAAGCACAGGTGGGAGATGGGGTCTCACTACCAGAAGACCCTTGAGGAGGTTTTGAAATAGCCATTGTCAGGAAGGTAAAGGGGTCCTCAGAGCTGATTCAGAACACCCCCACCCCTGCCTTTCCTGGACATGGGACTCGCTAATGATGCGCCGAATGGATCATCTCTAATATTCCTGACCCTGGCTGAGCATCAGTGTGAGGAGAGAAGTCATATCAGCTCACAGGCGGGCGGTCCAGCCCTGAGACAAGCCCATCTCTGTCTCTTTCTCCATCAAGCGCTGGCCTCGGGCCCCCCGAAGTGCTCTGGTCCAGCTCTCAAGGGTCCTGCCAAATGGACTTGAGGAATGAAGAAATTCAAGTCCAGCCCATTTATTTTTAGCAAATGAACCCTGACTTCCCACTGAAAGTGAGCGTGGCCTCCACCCCGTCCAGGACACAGAGGCAGAGGCGCAGAGTCCATCCTCTGGATCTCAAGCCCCACTCAGCATCTTCTCTGTCTCCTTTCCAGCAGGAATATTTCTTACGTGCAGAGTTAACCATGTGGCTCCCTTGCAGAAAATCCTTATAAGATCCTACAATACATCGTTAAGTAACAGGGCGCTTCCTACATGCCAGCCTCTGTTATACGGACTTTGTATAAATTCAGTATTTTAACCTCAATGACAACTGGACGATAGAAGCAGTGCCCTCCCGTGTTATAGATCAGAAAATCAGGCACCAAGGGGATGAGCACCCCACGAGGTCACACAGCAATCACGTGTCAAAGTCAGGACCTGGACGCAGTGTCGGGTGCCCACGACCTGTACTCTTAACGCCTGTACCATGCCGTCCCTGGAAAAGCGCGAAAAATGCAAGCTCTCAAAGCAGGGAGAAAAGTTCGTGGGAATCCCACGTGCTGTGGGCTCCTCCACCCCCTCCCACTCCCTCTCTGAGCATCTCTCATCAGCCCGAGCAGGATCAGAGCGCTTCAGGGCCCGAGGGAATGCATTTCAGGGTGAAATGCAGCAGAACAGGATGAAAGCCCGTGCCTCCAGCTGTCCATGTGCATCACCCAGGTCAGGGTCTGGGAGGAGCCGGGCGAGGAGCTGGGGGGCAGCCCAGACACAGGGACTTCTTTCCACTCACTGAGCGCCAGCCAGAGCCCCAGGAGCCAAGAAGAGCAGCTGCAGGAACTGGGAGCTTTCATTTGAGGGGGACTTTGCTCTTTAATGAAGAGGGTGAGCGTTGTTCTCATGATCCATTCTCCAGACAGCATTCAACAGGTTTGCTTCTCCAGTGCTCTGAGAGGGACCAGACCGGAACCCAGCTACTTAGGGCAGAGGCAGGAGATGGATGTCCAGGCCCCCCAGGGTCCAGTCTGATCTTCTTCTGGCCCTTCTTCACTTCTTTGCTAGGCCCAGGCTATGCCCTCTGCCCGGGACATCTCCTCTCCCCACACCCTCATTCAAACTCTCTCCTGCTTACCCAGGCCAGACGCTACTTCCTCGCCATCCCCCTGCCCGCCGAGGTTCCCGCAGGATGTGGCCTCCTCTCTCAGGACCCCAGGACGTTTTCATTCTACTTGGCACTTTCAGGAGGCTCCCCGCCCCTCCCCAGCCACAGGCATCCTGGTGCCCTTCTCTGCACTGGCAGCGGTGCGGGAGTCAAGGACCAGATGGACAGGACACGCTTGGAGTCACAGGGTTAGTCATCAGTGAAGCTGACCCTACCTCCAACTCGGAGGTTCGAAAGCCAGGACTAACAGCATTCTCTGACCCTGGACTTCCTGGCGAGCTCCACAAACCACTTACCCCCAGTGGATGCCTGCTCACTGCCCAGCGGCTTCTTCATGCTCGTCTTTGGAACTTCATCCCCTGAACTCTTTGTATGACTCACCCGGGACCCTTGGTGGGCTTCAAGCTCCCTTTTCCACCTGCCCCCTCCTCGCCACACTCTGGCCACACTGGTCTGCTCACGTTTCTTTAATGCGGGAAACTCCACCTCTGCCCACCTTGTACCCCTCACACACCTGGGTCCCTTCAGATGAGTTGTCTCCTTCCTCCCCCAGCCCCCTTGTGCCCCAGCCTCCTACCCGGCCTTCTCATCTCAGCTTGGAGAACACTCACCTGCTCAGAGGAGGTCTGCCGGCTTCACAGGCTCACAGCCTGTTAGGTGTTTGTTTTTCTTTTTATAAATTTATTATACAAAAATAAGGAATTATTTGCTAATTCATTTAACATGTATTTCCCTGACTAAACTGGCCACATGTGTTTGTGCTCAGTTGTACTTGGACTCTTTGCATCCCCATGGACAGTAGCCCGCCAGGCCCCTCTGTCCATGGAATTTTCTACACAAGAATACTGGAGTGGGTTGCCATTTCCTTCCCCAGGGGATCTTCCCAACCCAAGGGCTGAACCCATGTTCCCTGCATCTCCTGCTTCCCTGGCAGATTCTTTACCACTGAGGCTGCATGGGTATAAATTAAGCCTCACCTATTTTATCCATCATGGCAGCCCTGTGTCTGGCATTGTACCTGCCAGGGGACGGTGACTGTTTCTCTATCTATACTTACATATTATAACTATTATGTGTGTGTATATCTATATCTATCTGCTGAATAAGTAAATTAAAAACACTAAGTGAAAGAAGTAAGCACTGGAAGGATCTTGGAGTACATAACCTAGAAAATTCCTTTTACTTTTAGAATTCAAGAAAGAACATCTTTTTAGACAAGAAAGGGAAACTCAGGTTCTGTCCTTTAAGAGAAAAGTCAGCTTTTCCAATCTCAGCTGTCTAGTCACGTGTTAAGGGTCCACCCAGATTTAATTGCACCATCTGTGGAGGTGGTTCACGTCTCAGGCAGCAGAAGAGATCAAGACGTTGGAAGGTGCCTATTTCACTTGACAGAGGAACGGACTGGAAGGAGCAGGCCGCCCGAGGAGCATTGGGAAGGAGCCCAGAGCCAAGCCGTGAGCTTCTGAATGCCCGAGAGCAGCAGGGGCAGAGCCCGGATACGTTCTCTCCAAAGTCAAAGCCCCAGAGCACAAAACTGTTCTTCCTGCCATTTGCTTCACTCACCCACAGCAGCAAGAAAGGGCTGCTCAGCCTTGGTTTGATACAGATGATTGAAAATATTGGGCCAGCCGTCTTCACACTCAGATTCAAGCAATGAAATCGCAACCAAGCAACGGCCTTGGGGCTCACCTTCAGGAGTCTCTCCTCCTCCCCCTGTATCACCCAAAAGGGCTGAAAGGAATTACTGAGTTCATATTCTGGCCCCTGCAATCTTAAAAACTGAACCGAAATGAAGTAGATTCAGAAAATCAGATGGAACTGTCCGTGCTACCAACTAGTTAATTGGCCTTGGGGAAAACATGTAGCTTTCCTGAAACCTGGCTTTTTGACTTATAAATTATATATCAATTGTCTTTCTCACAGGATCATATCAAGGACCAAGAAAATACTTGCGGAAGCAGCCCAGCGCCATGGCATGGAGACAGGCAGACTTGGGCTGGATCCTGACTCTGCTCTGTGTGCTGTGTGACCTTGGGTAAGTTACTTAACCTCTCTCAGCTTTAGTGTTATCATCCATAATTGGAAATACAAAGATTAATTGCCTATGGTTGCAAGAGTTATTGTAAGAATCAAATTAGAAAATGTATACAAATTATTTATGATGCCTAGTACATGGTAGAAATCCAAGAAATTACAGAAGCAGTAGCAGTATTAATACCCTTAAAATAAAGTAAGCTATAATTGTTGTTGTTCAGTCACTAAGTCATGTCTGACTCTCTGCAACCCCATGGACTGCCGCACACCCGGCTTCCCTGTCCAGAGTTTGCTCAAACTCAAGTCTGTGATGAGTCATTGAGTCAGGCTATGATGCCATCCAACGTAATCTATAATATAATCAAGATGTCAAGATTACCAATGAAGTTAAATCCTATCTTTTTCATGAAGACTTTTCCTAAGAATTATTGCCTATTAATCATTCCTTTTCCTAAACTCCTACAGAACATCTCTGTACTGCATATTTGGAATTTAACCGTATTTCTTCATATATTTGCTCACATGGTTTCAGTTGCTGTTAGAAATAAACATAGCTCACCCAGGCCACACCTCCTGAGCTGGGATGGGGATGGTATGGGGGACAGTAGCCTGATTCAGAGCCTAGAGAGTTGGGGTCCAGGGATTTCATCTAGACTTGGTCCCCAGAACTGAGCATTCTCTTGGGGACAGATTTGAACCAAGTCCACTCTCCTCTACACCTTAACACACAAAAACAAAAGCATGATTATAAATAAACCTGAATCCTAACACATCCTTTAGAGTGGGAAATAGTAATACCTAAGTACACGAGCATAGCTTTTCGCAACCCAGGACCCCCATCACTGACCAGAGGACCTGGGAAGTACCCAGCATGAAGGAAGTGCTCAACAAAAATTTGCTGAATGAATATTATTTTTTTATTGAAGTATAGTTGATTTAAAAAGTGGTCTTAATTTCTTTTTTTAAGATTTTTTTATGGGAACCATTTTTAACATCTTTATTGAATCTGTTACAATATTGCTTCTGTTTCATATTCTGGTTTTTTTGGCCATGGGTCATGTGGGATCGCAGCTTCCCAACTAGGGATCGAACCAGTACCCCATGCATTGGAAGGCAAAGTCTTAACTTCTGGGCCACCAGGGAAGTCCCAGTAAATGAGTATTATTTATGGGAGTATTGTTGGAGCAGCAGCTAACTGTTACGACAATGATGCTGCAAAAAAAGCAATCCAAAAAGCTTTGGTGATAAATAACTGCTCTTATATGTCAGATCAACTGCAATCAAGTTAGGCAGCTGTGCTGTCCTGACTGAGAGATGAGGTGACTGCCAATGGATGACATCAGAAGAGCAGCTGGGCAGGAGTCTACTCTCTAGCACCTCACCCAACCCTCCTACCCTCCTAGGTTCCCCAGAGTCTCTGTGCTAAGATTCTGTGGCATGCAGAAGTAAAATAGATAGAGGATGCTGGACTTGCAAAGTGCACACATAAACACAAGCTTCCCCATCACATGCAGGACCAGCAAAATCGCAACGAGCTGGGCTAAGCCAGAAACAAGCTCAAACCCCATTGCCAAACTCCAGGAGGCGGAATTTGGGTCAGCGCTGCTAATGGGCTACATCTAATGAGGGACCAGGGAGTGGGAAGTGCTCCTCTGGGGACAGGAGTGTTTACCTACAAGAGGCAAATCATCCATTCCAGCCACTGCACGGGAAGCCATTTGCCTGGTGTCTGCATGTATCACCCTCCAGGGAGTGTGCTCTTTTCCAGTTCACAGATCAGAAGTGTTCAGGTGGTAAGTGACTTATTATATCCCTTCTGAAAACCTGGATCCAGGGCTCAGATTGGTCCCACTGGATCCAAGATTACAGTCACAGACACAAACCATCGTGATGAATTACTGTCTTTAAATCTTGCAGGATTCAGTCAAAGCATCATTTGTGTCTTTTCCTGGCTCCAGAAGAGCCAGGTGTGTGGGGGTTTTTCAGTCTTCACCAGTGGCTCACATAGAAAGAATATGAATATAAGGTGAGACAGATGTTAGCCTCTGATCAAGGTCATTCCCCCCACAGGTCTATCTTCCTATGTCATGTGACCTGAAAGGGTGGAATGGCCATTATTCTTTTATCAGAACATGTTAATTCAGTCAGTAATCTTGCATCCAGCATAATATGCCAGCCATTGGACTAGACATTAGTGTTAAGAATGGATAAGCCAGGGAACTCCCTGGCAGTTCTAACTTCCACTGCTGACGTAAAGAGTTTAATCCCTGGTTGGGGAACTAAGATCTCACAAGCTGCAAGGTGCAGCCAAAAAGTAATAATAATAAAGAATGAATAAGCCAGTTCCTACCCCTCAGTCAATGACTTACAGGTGACTCTCACTCCTGAGTTTTTTTTTTTTTGGTTTTGGGTTTTTTTTTCCTGTCTATAGGGAAAAAGAGAATCATAAATAACTATAAAACCATTTGGAAAAACATTGCAATGATATATGAGCTACACAACAAGAGATTAACAAATGAACTTGAAGGAGGAGGTAATACTTAGCCTCCACCTTAAAGGATGAAGTGTGTGTGCTCAGTTGCTTGGTCATGTCTGACTTTTTGCAACCCCATGGACTGTAGTCCACCAGGCTCTTCTGTCCACGGGATTTCCCAGGCAAAAACACTGAAGCAGTATTATACTGGAGCAGGTGACCATTTCGTCCTCCAAGGGATCTTCCTGACCCAAGGATCAAACCAGAGTCTCCTGCATTTCTGGCACTGGAAGGTAGATTCTTTACCACTGTGCCACCTGGGAAGCCCAGAGGATGAAGACGTAATCCTAAACAGAGAGAAAAGTATGTAAGAGATATTGTGGGCTGGCTCATTCAAACTCCTTCCCTACATCCTTCTAGGGGAGACTAGAAAGCCAAAATCCACATTTCACAGACTCCCTTGCAGCTAAGGTCTGGAAACAAATGAGATTCCACCAATTAGATGCTTTTGAGTGGGATTTGAAAGGAGTAAACAAGCTGAACCAAACTATCTTCCTTTTCTCGAGCTGTTTTTGCTGGTAAGGATGGCTATGGGAATTCAACTATTTTCTGCAGTAGCATTTCAGGGTCTATTGTCCAACTCTGTATCTTCCAATAAGCATTAGATATGATAGTAGGAGTCTTTTATTCTAGAAAACCTTCCTTGACAACCTCAAAAATAGAAGCACCCCTCGTTAATCTATTCTATGTTGATTTGGCAGTAATTCCTTCCAATGATTTTGTTAGCACTGAAATCCTTATACCAAATGCATTTCTGCTTAAAATACTTAAGCTGATTTCTATCTCTTGCATTTAA